CTATCCCAAAACTGTATCGTTGGCTTTTTTATGAACTATTGCACCTGGTTTCGATTATTGTTTAAGACCTAACACGATTAAATACAATACATCTGCACTATTTCCTTGCGGGATTACAATTTCAACCTAAACCACCCCTCCCTCAAGTAAAGTAATTGTCACTTCCCATATTTTGGGAAGCACGTGACCAGCCTGGACCAGGGTTTTTTCGCAGCGGGAGGTGTGCGGAGATAAAACCCTGGGTACGAGGTTGGGTCGAATGGTATCACCATCAAGAAGCTGGGCCTTGACAATTCCTTGACGATCTTTAAAGATACCACAGCGATTACCAGTGGTTGCCAATGTCACCAAATCATCGTTACATATCCCAGTGCAAAGAACAGAAGTATCAACCAAATTGAATAAATACACAAAGTCACCAGCATGTCTTAATACCTTGGGTATTGCCATTTCTCCATTGGTATTTTTATGTCCAATGATCACTTTCCAGGTGAGATCTGTATTTACAATGAGTGTTCTTCTAGCAGCTGGTGTTATATATAGTCTTGTCAAAAGAGAAGTTGCAAAGCATCAGAAATGATTGTGAGTGTTTAGTTAGATTCCACTTGTGACTGACAGAACTTTCCTTTTCCAGTATGTTAAAGATGTGAGTAAAACTTTTAATTGATGGTTTAACGGACTTGTCCCAATCTCGTAGATGGTATTGAAATTCGTACGGGAGATCGGTAAACCAGTCAAACTCGGGAGACTCATGTTCATGGCCATTTTGTTTATCTTGTTTATTGGTCTTAGATGTTTTGTATCGACTGTGTGAAAATTTTCGTATCCTCCCCAGTTTACCCATGTTGGTCAGTTGGTGTAGGTTAATTACATATCTAGAAGAGCAAACATAGACAAAAAACAGTGAATTTTAGATACAACGCAATACAGTCAGATGTAGTTGTGTGTTCTGTTATACCTAGCAACAATCTGACAAAGGCACAAATCGAGGCACAAATATAAAAGCCAAAAGTCAACTTTAATGCGAACTACAATACATGTAAATACGACTAAACCACAATTAAAGGACACATCTTTACGATCGGTTAGACGATCAAAAAATTTAAAAGTGTTAAATAGCTAAAATATTCATCTCCAATATAGTCAAATACGGGCGAAATTTAAGCAAAATGACCGCTACTCGGAGACGCAATTTCCTCGAAAATGAACGGACAAAAATGTAGACAAACATAGCACACACTTACCTCAAGAGTTGTTGCGTGGCTTAGACGCATCCATTTGGCCCAGGAAGCAGTATAAAAGACGAAAAAACAACATTAATATGTCATCAAAAAAATATTGGGATAAAAGTCAGATCCCAGTCAAAAGCAAGGTAAAATGAACAATACTTACGCCACAATTCGCCATTCATGACATCACAATTTGCAACTAGGTTTCAACTTCAAGCCAGCGAAGTAAATTGCTTTAAGCCAATCAGCGGCTTGGAAATAGCACACGTGACTAGAGTTTCCTATCCATTTTTATTATCCATGCTATTACTTATTAATAATTTACATAAAAATGTTCGAGACAATTGTAGTTTTAACTTACGCGTTTATAGCGAACATTCCACTGGCAAAGTTTTCCTGGCTTTGTTATATCACATACAACGCTAACAACTTGAAAATTCCACTCAACTATGTAATTTTTGTTAGTCTTGTTTAAGGTAAATGCTTTTCCATTTAAAAATAAAGATAAAAGCCATATTTTCCACGCGAAGGCAACTTTTACTTTGTGTAGCGCGGCGCCATGTTTGTTTTGTTTTGAAGCAATCTGTGACCGTTACTTCTTTAAATTAAATTTCTTTAAACTGATTGGTTGATTTAATCATCACAATGTTTTTCCACCAATCAGATCGGTTTGTTACAGACTTTTGCACTGTGATTACAGAAAATTGCACTGTGATTACAAAAAAATGCACTGTTATTACAGAAAATTGCACTGCTGTTTGGGATTAACTGCACTGAAATCAACCAATCACAGTCGAGTAATATCTTTATGTATATTATTAGGAATGTAATAATTGCATTGCTGAATATTGAAACATGACATTTAATTTTGAAGCTCGGATCAATGGTCTTGGTAAAAACAGATCATGTAATTGCACTCTCCCCTTGACTAGTAAAATTGTCTGGCGTTAGGTAGATTAAAATAATACAGTAAGGCATATCAAGACACATTGCCACTTGTGAAGGGTTAACATATGTGTACTGTATATGATATTTTTGTGATGTAAAGATGTATAATGTATCATGATAATAATGTCGTCTTTTATTTTGCAGAAATTATATGCATGTTTAATATACACAAGAGATGGCACTGCGGTATCAACAGGCAGAAAAACATGCAGAACAACAAGATGAATTAGTTAATTATAATACCATGCATAACAACATAAATAATTATATGATTATGATAACTTTATTGAAGTGTAACTAAGTTTTATAGCAATTAAAATTATACATTTTTGTTTTCTAAATTGTTTACTGCTAATAATTTTTCAAAAAAGTCAAATACACCCTTCCGGAATGTATTTCACCTTGGCTATCACAGGAGCCTCATTTTCATGTATGTGGCATGAGTTAAAGTCGAATGTCTCATTCGTGAAAATGAGACTCTATATATAGCCAAGGTGACATAATTTCTGGAAGCATGTATTAAAATACAGTATGTTCAGTTTCCAAAGATATGTGTAGCTTGGTACTGTAACTTGCCACCCAGAAAGAAGTGTGTTATTGTGGAATAAATCTGCAATAAACTAGAAAATACATGCATGCAGCAACCCCTCGCCTTTCTTAACAGATGAAGCATAAAAACCACACATAAAGTATTAAGACCATTATAAACAAACACAAAAACACAACTGATGCCGTGATGCGCTAGCTTTATAATGAACGATAACATTCACTGCAATTTCATGCATACCAGCTTGCATTAAAGTGAATTATCGAGTTAAGAATGGCTTAAAAATTTCGCAGATATGAATAAAACGGACAACACAAAGCAAGTACAGCATGGCATTTTACTACTGAAATATTTACACTTACCCAAACTGGCACAACAACGATTAAATTATCAAAGATATCAACATCAAAACATCAAAACAATTATTATACAAACGTTGTTACACGGCGGAAACTGCAGGCTTATTTCCAGTTAAAATCGAGGAAAAAAAGTGTTGTACTTTCTTAAACTTTTTAACGAAATTTAAAACAAAAAATTGCTTGTAAAACAGCAAAATACGTCCTTTCAAAATGAACAGCAATTTACTTCGACAGATTTTGTACTCGCGCATGCGCATAACGTCGAAAACCGTCCATGACATAAACAAAATGGAGGACAACTTTGCACTCCGCTATGTTTTCACATACCCGGGTATAATTAGTCGTGCGGAATTAGTACCCTCGCACGGCGCTTTGCGCCGCCGGCTCGGGGACAAGAATCCACCAGTAACATAAATTAGCATGTGATCAAGGTAAACAAAAGAATGTAACCTAACTCCTCAGTTTAAACCAGGGGTATTAGAACTATGAGTGCACTTATAAAGGTACATTGCTCATTCAGAGTGATATTTACTGAGAAAATTTGTAAGAACACAGGTCATCCTGGAAATGAGGTTTATGCCTGTTTATAAAACGAGACCTCAGGAGTCAACCTTTTAAACATTATTATTACACTAGACCGTCGTAATCCTCGTATATGTGACTGAATATCGATCAAAGCTTTGTAGTTTGTGACCGGACATTTTGCGATTATGAATCACACTTACACAGCTTGCTAAAATTAGTAAAATAGTGGGAAATTTTACACTTTACCATGTGTATTACATAGGAAGTTGTTTTATTAAGAAATAGAGTGTCAGTTTCATCCTTATGCTTATCATTTTCATGTCAAACAAGACGCTCTCTCGAGCGTTAAGTTGCTGGGGCTTTTTAAATAGGCGCTTGCGTGATTTGCAACGAGCGGTAAGAGTGTATATTCAACGATTTGTGGGCTTGATTTGTAATTGTACAGCAATAACAGTACATAAGTTTATTAAATAGTGACACGTTGCGACATAATGTATACAGCAAATTTAATTAACTAAGGTCGTCCTTTCAATGAAGTGGAATCGCACAATCAGGTCCATCATAAAAGAGATCCACTGAAGAATTCCTGTTAATACCCATGAAGAGAGACCCTGGAAGAATTTCAATTTTTACATTTGATCCCTGAGAAAATCTCATTTAAAATATCCATTACCAGATTACCCCCAAAGAATTCCACACAGAAATGCTTATCCCTGAGGAATTCCAAAGCTAAAAATTTATCACCTTATTCCAGCAGAATTGCAAGCTGGAATAGCCCAATTTGTACTGGCACTGTGGCACAAGTGTTCATATTTGGGCCTTGGGCTATAATAACCCCTTATTCATATTTGAGGATAACTACAGATTTGTGTATTTTTATTTTAACTTGTTTATAACAAATTTTAAAACACAAAAATTGTTTATCAGTTAAGGACTAAGGAGTCGTTTGTGAATTAATCCATTGAGTGATAGCACTCTCTCCCTGATGAGTAAAATTCTTGGCATTTATAGACACAGTAAAATAATAAACTAGGTCACATTGCCACTTAAAAGGGTTATATGATATGGACAATCGCATATATTGGTGCGGAATTTAGCTTTTTGCACCTAACTGATGCATGCGATAGACAGTGGTTATATTTCACCCCAGGGCAGTAGCAACCGGGGGGGGGGCTGTTTGAAATTGTAAATTTCAACATACTAAAATGCTGTTTTCTAACCATCGGAATTCTGTCAAATCTTTCCCAAAGTTCAGGAAATGGCATTTCAGAGACTCTAAATTTAAAAATTTCCTCGGGCCTTTGGCCATTGCTTTCAGTTCCCCAATCAAAAAGAGCTTCCCACAGCACTGCACTCCCTGAGCTATTGGCATTAAAATTTTACATAACTTTATATTAGCAGTCAGTGGTGTAGAACTGAATCGCTAACAAAGAGGGCCCTCAAAGAGGGGGGGGGATGACAAGACGTGGGGTAACCAGGCATTGAGGGTGCAACATGGTAAATATGGATAGTTCCAGTATTCACTTTTGGTTCTAGCAATTCTTCAATTGGTGATTTTTAACTAAAGGGCTTAACATCAAATAATACACTCCAAAATATTGAAGCTATTACATGTTAGAGCCACATAAATATCATCAAATGGTTAGATCATAGTAAGGTACAGATTACTGATAGATTATAAATTTTGCAATCTGCAAAATATTGCGAGGTTAATCTTCACAAATTGACATGAAATTTTTAACAAGGGGACCCCTGTTTGCAATCTATTAAATAAGCAAATGAGTTGCAAGTAAAAATCATGAATACATGATGCAGTTTATAACATGAACAAGTGAGTTTTTA